GGATATGGTCCCGGTGGGATTAGAGGTTCTGGAACGCCCCACATTGGAGGAGGGGCTAAGGCTAGAGAGGCTCTGTGGCATAGGTTGGGGAATTGCATGGATCAGTTGCATTCTATAGCTGTTGCTGTGTGGCACTTGCAGAGGGTGCTCTCCAAGAAACGGGATCCATTTAGCCATGTTTTGTTGCTTGATGAGGTCATTCAGGTGAGGTACATTGGTTGTTGTTTTTGCTGTATCGGAAGGAAATTATGTCGTTGCTTGGATTCATATATGCCCATCTGTATCCACGGCACTAACACTAGAAATGATTGTTTGTTCTCTGAATGCCAAAGTTTGATATGTAGATGATAGGTACTATTTTGTGATTCTTTGGTATAATCAATTTACCAATATAATATAGTTGTGTAGCAAACACCCTTGGCTTGCACAATATGGTGAGCCAAATCTTTGTGTTTGAATTGAAGCTTGGAACTTGTAGAAATTGTTAGCTCAAACAGGTTGCTTTTCTTACATCTGATTTGGTCAGTATTGTATTCGAAAACAATTTTTGTGTGTGCTTCTCCGGCTAAAAGCAGCGGATTATGATAGAAGTTTGAATTAAGTCAACAATTGTTCATTTCTGTATGTATATGTTCAGTTTTATTCCGAAGAAACTGACATGGCAAGATCGGTGAATATGTTGCACTGATGTAAGGCAATAACTTTATTCTTCATTTTTTTTTCTCTCAGTCAATAATTTTCTGTGAAATACAAATCGGTGCCAGTCTTCCAAATCTTTCCTATTTTTTGGTCTTCTGTTTCCCCTGCTATGCTGTAAAGTGAAGCATATGTTAACATATGCCAGGGGGTAACTATACTGTACTACCAATATATAACTTAAGAGGAAGTAAAGAGATCAAGCTTGATTGATTGATGTTTTTGTACTTCTGTACAATTATGTGAATATGCTTCCGGCTTTATGCAACAATATATTGTCAGAGACCTTCTCTCTTTAAATGACCTGTATAGGATGCAGGGTAGAGAAATGGTAAAATTACATGCCTGGGCATTATCGTCTGATGCATTAACCCCACTAAATGGATATGGATTGCATTGAATTGGATGAGATGAGATTTACTGGCAGTCTTTTCAAAATATACCCCTCTGTATGTATTCAGAGTGAAATAAGGTGATCAATATTTTAGATGTACAAATAAGGTGATTTGATTTTTTTTAATGAGGTATTTTATCCTAGGTTTGAAAATTTTTTCTATCTTATACCATGTAAAAATAAACAGATCTAATGGACTTCCTAGTTCCTGGCGCTCAGTCTTCATTATTTATTTTACTTTACAGTATTGAGTTCTTACTGAGGAATATTGATCATACTTATTCCGGCTGATATTGTTCACACTTCCTAATTTTGTATTGGATATTTTTTCTCATTTTCTAATGGTGACTGCTGCTGCATAGGAAGGTGATCCCATGCTAACAGAACGTGTGTGGGAGGCCATTACTAAGGCGTTTGCAAGCCAAATGAAGTCTGCTTTCACCGCTTCAAGTTTTGTTAAAGAGATTTTTACAATGGGATATCCGAAACTTTACTCCATGATAGAGAATCTACTTGAAAGAATTTCACATGACACAGATGTTAAAGGAGTATTACCAGCTATCAATTCGTCTGGGAAGGAGCAGATAATTTCAGCTATTGAAATATTCCAGAATGCATTTTTGGCTCATTGCTTGAGTCGCCTTTCAGACCTAGTGAATTCTGTATTTCCAATGTCTAGCCGTGGCAGTGTTCCCTCCAAGGAACAAATATCAAGGATTATAACACGCATTCAGGAAGAGATAGAAGCTGTTCAGGTGGATGCACGTTTAACTCTTCTTGTTTTGCGTGAAGTTGGCAAGGTTTTAATTCTTCTTGCAGAACGGTCTGAATACCAGGTAAACAGATATGACATTATTGTATCAAAGGTGTTGTATGCTGTTTGTTATATTTTTAAGCACTACATTAATTGGTTCAGAAAAGAATTTGATGCTGTCTAGCTCATGGGTTTTCAGGAAGACCACCAACTTTAGCTGTTGCAAAACTTACATTTTTGGAATAAAGAATATCTTTACAAGGAAATTATGGGTACACAGAAAAAAGGAAAATCAATTTGGCTGCATGCATATATTATACTAATATTAATGAATTGCTAACTGCATGGATATATTATATTGGTCTTGTGCTGTATCATATTCAATTTGTACTATTGTAGTTATCAGCAACCATTCAAGTACTGAACTTACATGCTCATTTTTCTTTTTTTGGTTAAATAATTAGTAATTTGGCTAGACGTATGCAATATTTTGCTGATATTACTACCTGAAAGTGTTATCACTGGTCATGATATGGTGAGACGTAATGACTGATGATAGGTATTAAACTACCTAAAAAGTGCTGATGCTGTATGTTTTCTCTGCAGCTTAAAGACTCCTCTTCCCTTTCATTGTGTATGAGTCCTGCAATATTTAGAATTCGGAAGTTTATATTATTCAAGAGAAGGGATGAAGCCTACGATATAAGCAAAATTAATTACTAATACTTAAATCATTTTCATTGTTATGGCAGATATCCACTGGTCCTGAATCACGTCAAGTAAGTGGCCCCGCTACACCGGCACAGCTCAAGAACTTTACATTGTGTCAGCATCTTCAAGATGTTCATACACGAATATCATCCATGCTTAAAGGAATGCCTAGTATTGCTGCAGATGTGTTGTCTGCTTCATTAGGTGCATTATATGGTGTTGCCTGTGATTCTGTAACATCTTTATTCCAGGCAATGTTGGACCGTCTTGAGTCTTGCATACTGCAAATACATGATCAGAACTTTGGAGCGCATGGAATGGATGCTGCTATGGACAACAATGCATCACCTTATATGGAGGAGCTCCAGAAGTGTATTCTTCACTTTCGCAGTGAGTTTCTATCAAGGTTGTTGCCTTCAAGAAATTCTGTAGCTCCCGGAACAGAAAACATATCCACCAGGCTTGTCCAGAGTATGGCTTCACGGGTTCTAGTATTCTTCATCCGACATGCTTCCCTTGTCAGACCGCTTTCAGAATCAGGCAAGTTGAGGATGGCTAGGGATATGGCTGAATTGGAGCTAGCTGTGGGCCAAAATTTGTTCCCTGTTGAGCAACTTGGTGCACCATATCGAGCACTAAGAGCATTTCGTCCACTTATTTTCTTGGAAACTGCCCATCTTGCATCGTCTCCTCTTCTTCAAGATCTGCCACCGAATGTCATACTACATCATCTGTATACCCGTGCTCCTGAAGAATTGCAATCACCAATGCAAAGAAACAAACTAACTCCATTGCAGTATTCGTTGTGGCTAGATTCTCAATGGGAGGATCAAATCTGGAAGGGCATCAAAGCAACACTTGATGATTATGCTACAAATGTAAGGAGCAGAGGAGATAAGGAATTTAGCCCTGTTTATCCTCTCATGCTTCAACTGGGTTCCTCTTTGGTTGAAAAGGATCAGACTTCCTCAAAGTCTTGATACAGTAAATAATTTGTAGTCTAGCAAATTCAACCACATCAGCGACTTCCCATATGTGCTTCTTGAGAGTTCTTGAAAGGGTTTTGTTGTGGAAACACGATCAAGAGGCTGCCAGTTCTGCTAACAAGCATGAGGTAGAAGCGTTCAAGTGATTTGTAGTTTTTTTTTCCTTTCCTTTTTTCATTTCTATTCTTCTTTGCTTTTTTTTTTATTTTATTTTTATTTTTTTTTTATAAATGGAATTACTATTGTTGGTTAATCTCCATTTTCCTGATTAATTGTTGTTATATGCAATGTAGAGAAATATAGATTTTTGATGGAAGATAAAAACAAGTGCTGTTGTATACTCCTCGTGATTAATGGACATGTAATATATTCTTTTATCATTCTTTACCTAGGTTTGCGAATCTCTCCACCTATAGTCTAAACTATAGATCTAATTATTTATCAATTTATTTTTCTGAATGGAGGCGATGAAAAAACACAGGACCAAGTAATGTAAGGATAAAGGATTGGATGGTGGTGAAGAACCTTCGAGCTTATTTTTCAACGAAAAATGCATTCTAACGATTTAAGATTATTAGACTGAGTTTTATTTCGCAACAATGATATGAGAAAGAAAAGACAGTTTTAGTAAGTGATATCAATTCAATCACATGCCATTCACCTTACAACATAAAGAGGTTTCTTTAATTATTATCAGGAATTCTGTTCTCACGATGGAGTAAAATAAATTAATTGAAGTCCATTTCTTTCGTGACAGAAATCGATGTTGTTCCTAAATGACCCAAGGAATATCAAACTCCAGAAAGCTCAATTGTTGTGCCTTAGAGGAACCAATTAAAGGTTACAACAGGCCCAGTTGAGCAAATCTCCCATACTTCTACTTCTGTTTAAAAGCTTTAAAACATGGCATATAAAGACTTCAAAGCAAATAAAATGAAGCACAGTGAAACTAAAATCTTTTTAAAGTAATGTACATAATCCATTATCAACTTGGCTTTCCTTGTAGAAGTGTTGTAAAAGCTGACAAAAGTAGAATAAAGATCACGAACAAAAATACTTCCTGAGGCGTGTAGATCACTGCCCTTAAGGACTTATCCGCGGTGTATTGCGCAAGCCCCCAGGATACAACAGGAACTTCTCAGAATTTCTGAGGATCTCAGAACTAGCAAGGAACTCTAAATAGAGTATAAGAACAACCCAGAATAATTTTAGAAGAGGAAAAAGAGCTAGAGAATGAAACTCAGAAAAGAAAAGAGGAGAATAAGAAAGAATGAAATTTTGTGTGTCTTGGAATGGAGGAGGAGCTCCCTATTTATAGAGTTCATGGATCAAGCCCATGATCCCAAAAGTCCAAAATATCTTTTAGAAAAAATAATATTTTAATTAAATTAAACGTTGCAAACCGTTTGGAGACCTTTGCTTGCGGAAGTTGGCAGCACGTTGCATAACAAACATAAAATTAACGTTGGCAACTAATGCACGAAACTTGCGCAACGTATTGTTTATCTTTTGCAATAAATAAATAATAACAATAAGGACCTATGTTCTCCATGCCTTCTGCTGTTTCATTACTCTTGCGAGTATACAGTTGAGAAATCCAATTGCTCACTCCAACACCAGTATCCTTCAAGCCAGATAATTGCGGTATCCAACTCTTCAAATCAGTACCTGAAATCTTGTCATTGCTATCCTGAGTTTCGCAGACAAATCCTACCTTTTCTCTAGTATTTCTATGACTCATGTCTGGTACAATAGAAGGCAGATTGAATAGATGAGATACTTGAGGTGTAGAAGAGTATAAAGATCTAAGTTGCCTGCTGACGTAGTCACTGCTGTTACTATACATGTGAGGAACCCATTTGCCCACTGCAAAACCAGCATCCTTCAAGCTAGAGAACTGAGGCATCCAACCCTTGAAACCTACACCAGTATTGTTTCCATCATTGCTCACTTGAGCTTTTCCAATATTACTGAGATTCATAGCAAGTGTAACAAAAGATGGATTTAATAAATGTGCTGTTTCCCAAAGAGTACTGCTGTATAAATGCCTAATGTGTTCCCTATCATGGATAGTTTGTACAAGTTCGGCATCACTTGGCCACCATTGTTCCAGGCCATGAGATGCAAGAAATTTCTGTTTTTCTTTGGAGACAACCAACAACTTTGCTCTAAGTTGCCGATCTGTAAGATCCTTTTTCTCTTCGATTGTATTTTCTCTTGTGCCACCATTCTTGTAAACATTCAGATAATAAACACATTCCACCACCCAAAAGCTAGCATCCATCAAGCGAGATAACTGAGATATCCAACCCTTCAAACCTACACCAGAAGTATTGTCTCCATCATTGCCGACTTGAGCTTTTCCACTAGATAGGGGCACATATTTAAGTGTATTCCAGACATAATCAGTCGTTTCTCTAATGTTGTTGATGTGACTCATGGAAAATGAAACAAAACGTGGATAAAGTAAAAGTATTACTAGTGAAGGTGTAGCAATGTTCAAAGACCTAAGTCGCTTGCTTATGAGTTTGCAATTATGGATATCCTGCTCAAGTTCTGCATCACTTGAAAACCACTGTTTCAGGCTATGCGCCTCAAGAAATTCCTGGTTTTTCTTTGAGACAACAAACAATTTCGCTACATTTTCTCCATCTGCAGGAACCATATTTTCGTTGTCTTTGATCTCACTAGTTCCATCAGCATAAAAGTAAAGGCAACTGATATAGTCATTGCTGTTAATATACAAATGAGGAACCCTATTTCCAACACCAAAACAAGCATCCATCATACCTGATAACTGACGCATAAATCGATTCACACTTATACCATAAGTCTTGTGTCCATCATTGCTAACTTGAACTTCATTACCTGATGCAAACATAGATTTAAGTCCATTCCAGACATACTCGGCCCCTTCTCCAATATATCCAATATTCATGGCTAGTGAAACAGAAGGTGGATTAAATAAATGTGCCTCCACATTAATCCCTTCTTTTGCTAGTTCCTTTCCCACCTGAAGACCAAATCCAGCCCCCAAGGAATGCCCTGCTATGCAAACGTTCCTCCTTCCATGCAAATCAGAAACTGATCGCAGTGCCTCCAAAGTTTCTTTAAACCTGAAAGAGCCCTTCAAGCTTTCCCAAGCAGCAAAACGGATGTCATCTTCAATATCTCTTCGCCCTGTATGGCTTCTGAGTAATGTTCCTCTGAGTGCCAAAACAGCTTTAGGTGCACCATTTGGTCTAATTGGTATAAAATCAGACAATGCTGCAGATCTATCCCATTCAAATATTGCACCAAAAATAGATCCGTCCCTTTTATCAATCAATTTATGGGTGAGCTTGTACTTCAAGGGCATCCACCAACTTGGAGCAAGAGCATTTTCCTGTGTTCTGTTCTCCTGTCTATCAAGTTCAAGCATGTAAACTGCCTTTACAAGGCTAGCCATGGCCATTCGTTTATAATCTGAATCCTTCCTGCATAGCACAAAATAATCATTAGCAACATCCACGCACATAATATCAGTCTTTGTCCCAAAAACATAAATCCTCAATTAGTTATCTCTCATTTTATGAAAATGTGTCGTGTGTGATTCCTGTTTCGATAAATGAATTTTTTGTAAAAGATAAGACCAGGTGTAATACATTTTATAATTGAAGGACCAGGATATGAATGTTGTAAAGAGATTCAACACACATAAGATATTTTTCCGCTTTGGCCCAAACAGATTTGTTTTCAATACTACTCTAAAAAATCTCTTATTAATGTAGGTTTCTTACGTGTATACATCTCTTATTTGATCTTATGTGAGAGTGTCCCCGAAACAAACAGTAAAAAAGTGTAGTCAAGGATCATGAAATAGTGAAAGATTAAACTAATATGAGAACTGACCAGCAAGAATTGATATGGTCCCTCCAAGTGAATCTTGGAGGGCCAGTTGGGCTGTCATCAAGCTGGGTTTCAGGTGGAACCGCCATCACAGTGTGCCGATGAGTCCGAATTGCTGTGTACTGGTTGAGAATCAACACGATAGTACGATCACTACCACTTCAGTGAAATTATATAAATTATTGTAGTGAAAGGGTTAAATATGGAAATTCATTTAATCTCTTTTGATATATTTTTATGGTTAAATATGTTTTTAGTCCCAAAATTATTGGTCGTTTCGTCCCTCTTTCAAAGTAAGGTACAATTTGGTCCTCATTCTTTTCGAAACGTTCGTTTTAGTCCTCGAAAACTAAACACTATTTAAAAATTTGGTCCTCATTTATCAACAAATGAGGACTAAAACCAAAATTCCAAGGACTAAAACGAACGTTTCGAAAAGAATGAGGACCAAATTGTAC